AGACAAAATATACAGATTTTACAAAGAGGTTCCTACAGAGTACCGTAGATGTTTAGGGTTCTAATACCTTCCCTTTGCATAACCAACCCCCTTACCTTGAATCTTTCCCCATCTTTTGGGGTTATTCACTCTTTTCCCATTCCTCCAGAAACAATAAAGCGCGATGGCAATTTTTATTTGATATGTATAAGTCAAGTCAATCCAATGACTTAGTCTTAAAACATTTCAACCGCTACACCATGCTCTGATAAGCTTGCTGTGGTTATTGTTCAAGACAAAGGCAAAGAGACCGAAGAAGCCACTGCGTCAGAAACTGCTACAGATTATTCTGAGAAGCTTGCACCTTCCATAAATATACCTTCTTCATCTCTGGTTATGCAAACTGTAGAAGAGTTGAAGAAATAAAATGCAGTGATCAAGGAGAGATTAGACAAGCAAGATGACACATGCAAATAAATCAAAGGAATGCTGGGAAAACAAGAGGAATCGAACACTCAGATTAAGAGATTTCTGGAAGCTTTGTTCACACGACTTCCTCCACCTCAATCTTAGTTTTTAAAACTTGTTTTATTTACTGAATTCATTTTTCTTGTCTTGTTTGCCTCTGAACATGTTGTTGCAATCAATTTTAATATAACTCATCTTTTGACTCTGAATATTAATGTTTATATTTCTTTTTGATTCTTGACAAAAAGGGGGAGAGCGTAAGTTATTTCTAATAACAATATATCGAGACACAGTCTCAAACATTTTGAATATTATAACTTCTCGTTTCTTTTTTCTGAAAGCAAAACAGAAACAAAACTCCGATGAAGACATAAGTAGATGCATTAAAAGCTCTGATCAGAATGAACTTCAAGGAAGTAATATATCTCTATATGGGTACTCATCTTAGGGGGAGACCCTATAATGATTTATGTTCTGTTTATTCTGATTGAAATATCCTAGTTTTTGTCATCATCAAAAAGGGGGAGATTGTCAGAACATAGTTTGATTATACAACCCTAGTAAGAGTTTTGATGATAACAAACACAAAGAACAATTATGCACTCTAAAATTATATTATGTTTTATAGAGAATTTCTGATGGAAGAAGATTAGAAGATAAGCTACAAGGCTGTTCCTGCTGCGAACATAGACAATTCTCAAAAAGATCTGGTGAAAGAAGATCAGAAGTTGCGCTAAAAGAAAGATGTTTTAACTCTGATTACACAACTCTGGGAAAGTAAGTCTAACGCTGCAAACATGATCTTATGGCTCTGACCTTCAAAAGTTCTGAAGCAAGCAGCAATGCATACCTCAATGTTCTGAAGCGTTACAAATCAAATATTCCCATTTCAAGAGTAACGACTGGAATGGAACAAGGATCTTTATTTTTGGAAAGCATATTAACTGTCATTAATCAAGTTTCCAAATGATCATCAATGCTCCACCTATTTAAACAAGACACGAGGATAAATCGTTTATGATTTTCACACACTCAACAATGCTGCAATCTTTTGTAATCCTTATACATACAATTCTTTTAACTGTGTAAAACATCACAACGCTTTGATACTATTTTGTAGGAAAACAATATTGTACACTATCTTATTATTATATTGTTTAGAGAATTTCCTTGAGAAAAACCGGGGTTGGTTATACTCAAGAAGACTTTGGCAGTAGACAAAGTATATTTGTAATCAAGATTGATTAGTGGATTAAGACCTTGTTGGAGAGAGGAAAAATCACCTTGACGAGTGGACTGGAGTAGTTTGAGTTCAAACGAACCAGGATAAAAATCAAAGTGTTCTTTCCATTGAATTTTAATATTCCAATTCAACCCCCCTTCTTGTGTTTTTCAATTCTTCATGTTATTAATGAAACGATTTAAATAAATATTAAACAAAATGCATGTACCGAAGAGGCGCCAGAGCCCTAGCTCTGGTCGTCTTCTCCGGTGAGCCTTTTCTTTCAACCTGCGAAATAAATAGTGTTAGAGGTCCAATGGGACCCTACCCCTCTAAATCGAGGCCTTCGAATTTAATGGGATGGTTAGTTTAGGCTAAAACGTACTGGTTTGGGAGCTATGCCAAAAATATCTCAAATCGGTGCGAACATGGTAGTTCATGATTCTGATAGCATGGGATTCATATGATTGATTGTTCCTGCACTGGGACATATTAGAAACATATTAGTGGTTAACACAAGTTAAAACACAATAAAAGCAAAGATATGAAAAATCATGTATGAACCAAAACAACAAGGTGTGTGTGAGGGTTTCAGGACCTTTGGACCTTCAAAAATGTTCCATTCTTACCCTACAGTGTGGCTGGAAGTGAATTGGGTGGATGGATTGTGTGGAAAGGAGCTGTAGTTAAGGTTTATAAATTGCCCTAGTTTTGGAAAATTTATGATTTTTGGGATGACTTTGGCTTCAAGGTTTTTTATCTTTCATGTCTGAATTGAAGTGAATATATAGCTTGACATTTAGGTCAAAGGATCATGGGCTTGGACTTGTGTAATAAGCCTTGTTTTTATTTTATTTATTTTGACTTTTTAAATAATAAAAATAAAAAAAATAAAAAAAATAAACCAAAGGGAGGTGTATGAACAAGTCTTGAGGTTCACTATAAGATGCAAAGCACATTTGGACTTTGAAATAATAGCCCACTAGCCCAAAAAATCAAGTTTGCTCAATTTGAACTTCATGCATTTGCTCAAAATTTCCCAATTTACACTAGTCATAACTCTCTCAATTTTTGTTATTTGAAGGTGATCTTGGACTTTTTGGAAATCTTAAGGTGTTCTATACAATCTATATTTTGATCATTTTTGCATTTGAAGAATTTATCTTGATGTAAGGTACCTTGACAAAAAGTGTCTTTTTGTTGACTTTTGAAATGACCTATAATATATTGGCCCATATCTCTCAAACGAAGCATTTTTTGGACTTGAGTTTAGAGAGACAAAGTTGTATATAATTGAATTTCCTTCAAGATGAGCTTTGTTTAAGGAAAATCCAATGAAGCATGTGAAATTAATGCTTGGTCAAAGTTCAGTTGACTTCTCTTAAAGAAAATCCTAATTTGGCAACTTTTGAATTTTGATGATTTGGGAGTTTTCCTTGATGACTCATGATCAACACTTGATCAAATTATGAATAAGACTTTAAAACCTTGATGTTGACCAAAATCTCGAAGTTTGACTGTATGTTGACCATAATTGACTTTTTGTCCAATATAGTTGATTTTCAGTCATCTGAGCCATTGATTGAGCAACCTTGTGATGCAAGGCATGAATTTTGGTATGAGTGTGCTTGAAGACATATAAGAGACCATGAAATCCACTTGAGACCTTAGAAACCCAATCTTCCTTGAGAAACATAAAACCCTAGTTGTAGGTCAATTACTTAAGAGGAGAATTTGTATGATCAATTCTTGAGCAACCCTGAGCAATGGATACCCTAGGAGAATGTCTCAAGTAAAAGGGAGGGAAAATTTTGGGGTACAACAACTGACCCTGTTAAATCTTGTAAGTGTTTGTTTGTTGGCATTTTTTTGGTAAAACCAGATTTGCGAATGTCATGACTGATGTCATAACATTCTGGGATAAAGGTACATTCTGCAGAAAAGAATGTTCTACAGGAACTACTCAGTATGAGTGATTATCATGATCATTAAGATATGATCATTAAGATATGATCATATATATTGAATTCTACCAAAATCAGTGAGCAAGATACATGATGTCATAACCAATGTTAAGACACCCTGTACTGATCAAGTTGTTGTGCAGATTTATTATTCCTGAGATTTTTCAGGAAACTGGTGTGCTGCTCTGAGTTGAAGAATTATTGTCCAGATCAGCTGCTCATGTGGACATTAGGTTAACCTTGCTTAACCCTAATCTGTTATGAAAAAGCCCTAGACCAAGTCTTTAGGTTAACTTTAGTTAACCCTAGCTATTTTCATGGAAGCCCTAGATGAGGAATAGTCTGCTTATATATTTCTCACGAAGCCTAATGGACTGCAACACTTTTTGACAGAAGATCAATAAGGCATTGTATAGTTGTAACTACTGTGAGCCAAGGAATTATCGGTTTGATAAGTGACTTGGAGTAGGATTTGGTTGTAAGGGTTGTTTATCACTCAAAGCTTTGAAGCACGAGTGTTTGTGTCTCTTGATTAAAGCTTTGAAGCAAAATAAAGTTAGTGTTGTTTATCACTCAAAGCTTTGAAGCACGAGCGATTGTGTCTCTTTATTAAAGCTTTGAAGCAAAATCAAGTGTGTGTATTGAAGAATGTCTTCATAATCTCATTAATCAATAGTTTAGTATCACTGCTGTGATTGAGGGGGAGTGAGTAGGAACTCAGGTTTAAGTTGAACTTAGATTGAAGTTGCATTGGGTAGTATTGAAATCAGGGTATCTGACTAATATTAGGTGCTAGGCCCATCCTGTAATGTCCAATAAGCCCCCTTTATTTTTTGTATAGCTTCAGCAAAAAACAACTTCCAAAAAAATATAGCCATGGGCCTATGGAGGAGTATCATTCGGCCCAGGCCATTATCTCAACCCACCAGATCCTCCATAATTCATTATTTGTTTGCGTTTGAATAATAAAACAAGCATAATCAACAAAAACAAAATTAGAAAAAGGGATACGTGAAGATTAGTGTTGCATTTTGTGATTGTCCAGCTTCTCACGAGAACAAAGTTCTCTTCGTCTTCTCGAACTTGAAACCGCGGTGGCTGAAACTTCTCTTCGTCATTCTCAATCTTCTCCGTTTCATCAGACTCTCTCCTCCACTCGAAATTTCATTGTTCATCTCCTCTTTGAATCATAAGCTTTGAAGATATAAAAACCTAAAAGCTGAATCACATCCTCCTCGTGTCCAATCAAAAATCAGGACCTTGGGGATCCAACTCCGATATGCTTGAGCTATGCCATAACATGAAGAAATAGATGGAAGAAGCGGAAGAATACCGAAGATCGGAACTCACCGACCGGAGAAAGTCTGATGCCATCTTGGCAGCGTCAACAAACAGAAATCCAGAGATTGACTTCTAGGTATGAATCTTCAGTCTCTCTCCACTCTTCTTGTCTCTGTTTCAATACGGTTATGTTGCTAATTACTGTTGCATATTCGTTGTTGTTGAAGTTGGGAATCGGTCACGATAATCCTCAATCTAGGTGCGTTGCATAGATTGATAAGGAAGAGGCCCGAAGACAGTTAAGGTTGCAGATTTGTTGATGAAGATCTTTGAAGGTTGATGAACGATTTGCAGAAGAAATCGCTATGTGGAGAAATTGGTAGTTGAATTAGAAGTGATGTTGGGGAGCTTTGAAACGAATGAGAATTGATTAGCTCAAAGGAGGATGATGAAGGTGCGGAGAAGAGCATCATGACAGAGAGAGTTTGATCATTTTTTCCGTCATTCTTTCGAAGAGTTGAAGAAGGAAGCAGAGAGAAGCTGGTGATTCTTTTGAAAATGATTGACAATGAATCCCTTTCTGGTGAGTTTTCCAGGGATAAATATTCTGACTTTTTTTGTTTTTTTCAATCGCCCAATCTCCCTGTATTCTGTGTATCTTGTGATTGTTGGCGGTAAATTCGTAATTGTAGCGGGGATGATGATGAAGTGTTGGGAATATTTGCAGAGAATTCCTAGAGAGGATGAAGATGTTGTGATGGTTGTTGATTGAAGGTTGACGATGAACAAGGAAAGTGAAGATTGAAGGTGGAGGTTGTGGTGTGGGAGGTTCTGTGAGTATGTGTTCAGCAAGAGATGAAGAGTGAAGTTGTTGAAAGGTGCGGGTAGGAGAATATGTTAAAGAAGATGAATGAAGAATAAGGAAAAAAAATTGTTGAGAGAAGAGGTTGCCGAGAGAACTTATGGAGAGGGTGAAGAGTGAAGAGAAGAGTTCTTCATCCTCTTGGCGAGTTCTTTGTTCTCAGCCTTTTGTACCAGTTTATCAATAATTGTATATGTGTGTATGCTCTTTGTATGAATCCCCCCTGTTATATAGCTCTCAAAATCTGTTAGAAATTGTGCATTCTTGGCCACTGGATTAAAATTAGTTGGTTAGGTAATGAATGGTTGAGATGAATTCGGTTAGAGCAGTTAGCTGTTAGTTTTTGTTACAAGTTAGTTGGAAATTCTGTTAGTTGGGCTATTTGCAGTTTGGGAAGTAGTTTGTTAGGAAATTTATGTTAGAATTCTGTTAGAAAGTTTTGGTTAGAAGTTTTTAGTTCCTAAGCTGTTGAGCTGAACTGTTTTAATTAATTTTCTACTTTCCAACTTTCTATGCAGTTTGTTTTCTGTTTTTTCCGGTTATTGCAGTTAGAGAGTTTGTTAGTTTTGGTTCTGATTGTTACAAATTCTTAGAACTGAACTGTTAACTGTTATTGATTTTTTCTTTTTAATCTTTCTATGCAGGGCTGAACCATGGACGGGCTAGGAGTTCCCTCCATAACCGGCATGCACACGTCCATCAGAACCAAGTCATAAGTACAGCGTTGTACTGCTCGCATGACTTCAGCTCCATTAGTGACAACATCAATGTTATGACCCAACTGCTTCATCATGGATTGTGTCACCATGATGTTGATCTTGTTATCTTCCACAAGAAGGATCTTAGGCTTAGATATGGATTTGGGTTACTTCTGATTTACTACTTCTCCTAACACATTGAGTAGTTATGTTTACCACCATATTCTGAGAAGAATCTGCACTATCATTTTGAAACCATGCATGAGTGTTATACAAATGATGTTTATTACTAGATGAACTAGCTGATTCAGACATGTCTGAGGCGTCAACAACTGAAGATGAGTCATCGAAAGAACACGTCCCTTTTGATATGATGTCATTAGAAATAGCGGGAAATGAGAATGAACTCTCGGAAAATCCACTGAATTTGTGTGGCGATAGCTTGTGAGTTCGGTTTGTGTGGAATTGGAAGAAACCTTCTGTTGTTGTATCATCAGAAGCGGCTTCGTTATGCTTCATGTCTGAGAATTCATCGGAGTAATCAGAACTATCACAAGCAATTGAGACCCTGTATGGCAGAATGAATGTGAAAGTAGAACCATGTTGTTCTTTGCTAGACACTGTTAGATTACCCCCCATCAACTCAACCAATTGTTTGCATATTGCTAGTCCTAGCCCTGTACCTCCATGCTTTCGTGCGTGGCCTACACTGACTTGCATGTACCTTTTAAATAAACTATGTTTTGCATTTTCTGGTATTCCAATGCCTGTATCATATACATCACAACCTATCCACACACTTGTTTCAGCTGAGTGATGTTGATCTTCCTTGTCTCCATTCATCGAGCATTCATTTTGGGGTGTTAAGAGATATTTTTCTTCTTTCATTACATTCATAGAAATGGTTGATTGGCATGATGTAATCTTTTGAAAGTTTTCAGCTTTTTGAAAAAATTGGCTCTTGCATAACATGAAGGTTTATCCCAACTTTGCCTTCATGTGTAAACTTGATGACGTTGCTGATTAAATTTATGAGGATTTGTCTAATCCTTAATACATCGCCAGTAACCTTGATAGGTACATCATCTGTTACATGTCCTTCCAAGGTTAATATTTTCTGCAATGATGCTACAGCTGTCTGAAGCACATGCTTTACTACCTCTCGCGGTCGAAATTTTGTAGCCTCCAACTTCATTACTCTTGAATCAACCTTGGAAAGATCAAGTATGTCATTTATAAGTTGAAGAACCAAGTCTCTGGATGATAACATGACATCCAAGAGTTGTTTATTTAGATTGTCGAGTTCTTCTCTTACAAGACGCGCGACGTTGGCTTGTTTCTTAATAGAGTGCGGTAATTTCGAACAAATATGCAATGATAGTAATGAAACTTGTTTTTTTTTCATTCGAACCTTTGATTTCACATATGCTTTTCTCATATTTTAAAATATCTTTAGATGTCAAGTATATCCAATAGTTTTCAAATAACCTCTAAATCACGAAATATGGAATAATTTATTCCACAAGAGTTAACTTGGTTTTTATCCACGAAGTCTCGCTGGAATCTTCCAATTTTGCTTGAATCAAATTATTGAACAAAACTGAAGCTCATTCTCACACAAGTATAATGTTTTGAGGAATCGATAACGAGGATGGAAATATGGAAGAAGTATAACCAAGATATCCTTAAAACTACTAATCCACCTTGACTTGTATTGTGAGCAAAAACTAACAATGATGAGAACAAAAATGGCCTTGATCAACGTGAATCTATGGTACCAATTCTTATGTCATGACCTCGTACTTTTCAATTCCACCCCACAAGTCCTTTGTCTTGTCAAAATTGTCTTTGAGAGATCCTTAAAGAAGATAAAATTTGAAGCATAGAAAGATATCCTCTAATCATTTCTTATTGACGAACATCAACAAACTCACACACAAAATGCAAAACTTTAACCCACCTGTATTAGGTGTGCAGTAACGACTTGAGACATGGATAGAATAATGTTCAAAATGTCTTCGAAATGAAACAAAGCATTATCTTCCAACAGACATAGGGAAATAAACCCAAATTTTCAGACTTAACAAATAAAACCTTGCAACTTGATTTTTGAGATGAAGAGAATAACCTCGTAGCTTGATAAAGAAGAAATCCACAACAACCATCAATCAAAACCCTAAATTCACAATTCAATGTACCAGAAGAATCAGTCTTGTTTGATAAACACCTCGAACCAAAAGAAAACCTGAGCTTCACAACCAATGATTCTCTGAACCATGATTCGAAGAAACCTAAATTGGTTAATTGAAGAGTGGATGAATGCCATGTCAAAGTCATTAAGCCTGATCAAATGATAGGCACACCTGTATGAGGGGACGTCTTGATTCGAAAACCATGTATGCTAAGTCACGCCCATGAGTTCTTGACAAAAAAACCTGTAATCTGTTGTTTATCAGAAAATAATAGCCTTGCTGCTTGAGGGGGAAGAAGTCCTTTATTGGATATGAGCGCCTTAACCACTGTGAAACCCTAGTATCACACAACCACTGAACTTTGAACCTTAGAGCTATATCGAATGAAATGTATGCCATGTTAGTGACCTAATGAAATAGATGCAGATGAATGCAAAAAGTCTAAGCCAAAATAAAAGAAATTAGGAGGGCAAATTTTGGGGTGCAACAACTGCCCCTATTTAATCGCCTTCAACCTGAAGGGGAGATTGGCGCAAGCCTTTCGAACCTTCAAGGTGGAAGAAGATTAGATACTAAAAGAACCCAAAAATTTGCGCTCCGAAGCCAGTCAGGTATTATTGTTTTTTTTTGTATTTTATTTTATTTTTGCTAGGTAAAAGGGGTTATCAGGTTAGATGTATGTTTAACCAGGGTTTGACACACAGCAGAATAACTTGGTTATCAAGGAGCGTCTGTTGGGATTTGGTAATAAACACCTGTAAGAAAGATATCAAAAGATATATGCCTGAAGTCCGTAGCAGACATACGGAAAAAAAAGTATCAGAGACACATATCCGGGGTTGGTAGCGGATATACAAGAAAGAGACATCAAAAATACATATCCGTGGTCGGTATCGGACACGTAAGAAAGAGATAGAAAAGATACATATCCATAGTCGGTATCGGATACACACAAAAGATATATCAAAGATACATATCCATGGTCGGTATCGGATACGTACAAAAGAGATAGAAAAGATACATATCCGTGGTCGGTATCGGATACGCCCAAAAGAGATATCAAAGATACATATCCGTGGTCGGTATCGGATACGTACGAAAGAGGCGTCAAAGATACATATCCGTGGTCGGTATCGGATACGTACGAAAGAGATATCAAAGATACATATCCGTGATCGGTATCGGATACGTGCGAAAGAGGCGTCAAAGATACATATCCGTGGTCGGCATCGGATACGTACGAAAGAGGCGTCAAAGATACATATCTGTGGTCGGTATCGGATACGTACGAAAGAGATATCAAAGATACATATCTGTGGTCGGTATCAGATACGTATGAAAGAGACAGACCAAAGAAAGCTCTTACAAAGATATCAAGAACACATGTCTGGGGTTGGTAGCAGACATATGAAGCAAGTATCAAAAATACATATCCGTGGTCGGTATCGGATACATAAGAAAGAGATAGATACATATCCGTGTTCGGTATCGGATATGCACGAAAGAGGTATCAAAAATACATATCCGTGGTCGGTATCGGATACGTATGAAAGAGATAGACCGAAGAAAGCTCTTACAAAGAAAAACCCAATCGAATGTGAACTTACTGAGGGAAGAGACCAAACAAATGGGACTCCTAACAAATGATACCAGTCGACGATGGATTTTAAAAAATGATACCAGCCGAAGCGGGGTTTTGAAAGGTACCTGCCGGAGCGGGATTTTAACAAAAGGTACCAGCCGAAGGTGGACTTTAAAGGATGTCAGCCGAAGGTGGACTTTAAAGGGTGCCAGCCGAAGGTGGACTCCTAAGAAAAGAGCGCCGGTCGAAGGCGAACTTACAACTGCAAAGAGACCAGCCGAAGGGGACTCTTAACAAATGATAAAGGTATGCATATCTGGTCAGAGTTAGATACACAAGAACGAAGTTGATCATCAAGGAACAAATGTTTAGAATTGCTAGCGAACACAGGAATGAGACTAACCGAAGAAAGCCCCAATAAAAAGGACGCATTTGCCTAAACAAGGGCGCCATACAACTGGACTTTGAAGAGACACTGAAAGACTCTTAACTTAAAAGATTAGCTAGGCTAACGAAAGGAGGACCCGAGTAACATGGATAAACCAAAATAGGGAACCGACTAAGCAGGACCTTCAAAGAGCACTAATAGAAGGTGAACTTTACAAGAGAAAGAGATTGGTCAAAGTAGACTCTGACAAAGATTGCCAAAACACACTGGGCTTTTGATAAGTTACAAATACGCAAGGACTATAAAAAATCCCTCAGGCCAAAGGCGGGGTGTTAATTCTTCAAGAGTGGCAATTATCAGAATTACCACACACCAAGTATGGATACTCAAACACTTGAGAAGCAAGCAAGGTTATAAGCCAACTCTTACTCAAGACAAAGCAAATGCGGGTAAAATAACCAAAGGCTTGCAAAGGTAAGTGCAAACCACAAACTTAGTGGGGAAATGGAGAAATACCAAAGACCCGACTGGTGGTGAATCAAAACAAACTTTGCTGGGGAAACATAATAGAATTACCCTAAGCTTCTTGTGGAGGTAAATCAAATATGAACGCATAACAATCTGGTTGCCACAAGTGGACACAATTGGCTTACTCATGCATGTTTGAATCCTTTTTTTATAGCGTGATGCTCCATGTAATGGAAATGCTACGCGTTTTAGTAGATGCAATGTAATGATGCAATGTAATGATGCAATGCATTAAGAAAACAGGCCAACAATCGGCTGCTGAGAAGTCAGTGAACTTCTGGATAATTATTTTGGCACATCTGATCTTCTGTAGAGATAAGGCAATCTGTACTTCAATGGGGAACTAAGATTTGGAATCGTCAACCCCTAAATATCGATATCACTGGGGAAATAACTTCTTGGGAAGAGCACTGCAAACATAAATTGCGGCTCAGAGAAAATCTTGAATACTGATCAAACTCCCAACTTCACGAGGAACAAGTTCCTTATCCTCTATTGGAAAGAGGAAAAGATTTGCTGGGAATGGAAATTTTTGACATAGAAATTCTTTGACGAAGATAACTTTCGTTGGGGGAGTATAGAAATTCTTAAATAAAAAGAATTCTACTCAGACCGAGATGGGGATAACATTGATGGGAAGTAAAAGATCCTCACTTTGGGGAAGAAACAACATCCTGGGACAAAAAACTCCATTGGGGATATCGCAACAAAATCTTCTACTACTGGTAATGAAAGAGTTATGACTGGAATTCTCTTGTACACCTCACCAGGGAGAAAGGACACTTGCTCCATTAGGGCATGAAGAATAGTTCCACTGGGGAAATTAGGTCTCATTATATGAACAACCTCATGTTAGTCACATAGGGATCCTCCTTGATTCATTTGTTGGTATGCATCTTGTCATACAAGACCAATAGTATTTACAAAACAGAAGTTGGGGCGACATGCCCCTGTTTGGAATGGAAAACCTTACTGAAGAATATACAACTTGAGTGATCAATCACTGGGTAAAAAACCGCGATGCAAGATTACTACTTCAACATGTCGACTCCGAGGAGGAATGCCACTAAAAAATGGACTTTAGAGGAGATGCTGCAAAAATAAATTGCAGTCCAATGAAAAGGGATCAATCTAGACTTTACACAACTTTTACATTTCCAGGGAGAAAGCACATTCTTCTTCCGTAGAGAAATCAATATGCTTTACT